GGATATTTACAAATATTTTGTTATTACATTATTGCTAATCAATGTCATTTCATCAAAACTTAATTTTGACTCTAAGAATGTAAGTTTTCATGTACAATCTCTAAGTTTAGATGTTTATTATCCAAATTTAATAAAATGTTCGCATATTTATTTTGACCGATACTGATATTGATATATCTATCAATATTTCCTTCAAATTACTGATACGTATACCCACATTGATTTTTTCATCATTGCTTAGTTGTAATTACCAAAAACCTTGAGTGTCATTTAGAATCTTGTATGTTGCCACAAACTTTTAAGTCTTATGGCGGTATCATCGTGTAACTGAAAGTATAGATTCTTATATGTTGTATCAGGTGAAGTGAACAATCAACCTTGTTGGGTTATCATGCTTGAGGTAAATATGAATATATGGTATTTTTACCCCTCAAATGGTAAAAATGGCACCTTTTGTCCTCATACAATTGCTTGTTTTATTTTCACATTCTTGCAAACACAAACCCTTCATATCTTCATGAAACTAGAAATCTACAGGGAGATTATTTGAATAGCATATAGTGGGTCACAGAAAATAACATGTTCTCATTACAAAGTGAACGTTCTCTCAGAGTCTCAGGTTATTAGTTTTTTGTCTATGTGAATTCGTTGCGACATTTCTCTTTCTCTTTTTTCTGTGTGGATATATCTTACGGAAACACTATGTTTGTTTTGGAAATGAATGACTTATTTGTAATTTATATTTTAATGACAATCTAGGCAATCATCTTGCCATCTCCTGAAAAGTAGAGGTCTAATGTCCAAACAAATCTGCTGTATCCCTATAATTTGGGGAGAAAGACTATTTACCCTTCCTATTCAGACTATGAAGCAGTGTCGATATGTCATACTTATCTTTTAACATATATTGTGTTTCAACCATCAAGCTGGTTGTATGCATAGTGAAACTGATTATTTGAGAGCGAAAATAGTTTCCAGTGCACAGTACATGCGATAGATATAGTTACTATGAACATATATTAAAATCAAAACCAAAATAATGCTTTGGTGTGTGATATGTCATATAACCACATCTCTCAGAACATATACTAAGAAGAGTATACCTTATTTACATTTTTTTTCACTGGTCAAACTTTATCTTGTAGTTCTTATTGTTATCAACAACATAGTGATCTCTTTCTTACTTCTTAGGTCCTTGACAATCTTCCGCATGATCTTATCTATTCTGTAAGCCAAGCATCTCCATGGATGGAAGTTTGGGTCGAGAGGCAACCACAAAGGTTGTTATTCATTTTCATGTATTACTTCAATAATAATTTGCGGCATTCTTAATGATACAAATGCTAATAAAAAGGCGACCATTTGTAATGATCTTATCTATATTGCAAGTTTATATTGCATTGATTATGATTTTGTTATTCCCAATACCCTGAAAATTCCACTAGTAAGTGATTGATGCATTTTTTATCTCTCTTTAATAGGTCAGAACTGTCTGAGTTGTATAGACCTCTTCAGGATCCATTAATCACCAATTGTATGGAAATCCTTGATATGGCGGGAAATGGTTTGGATAGTGCAAGCAAACTAAGTCTAATGGCGAAAAGTGTTTGGTCCAAAGTGTTTCCCAGGCCCAGAAGATGTTGGCTTCCCACTGGTTGTTTGGTACTTACTTTTGAGATGTCAATTCCTTATATACTTAACTCCCTCTGTCCCAAAAAAGTCTTTGAGTAAGGTATAAAGACTATAAACCAGATAAACTACATATTTTTTAATCAACTCAATCAAGGTACAAGCTTTTACATGTTATGAATGGTCACTTATACCCCTAAAACCTACTTTCAATATTATTTATAGTAGCTGCGTAAAACGCTTGCAAATTGGCTTTACATGAATTTGACTAAAATGAAATGCAATTCTTAGAATTGGACTATTTTTGGACAAAAAGTAATTGAAAAATTAGTCTTTTTTAGATTGCAGAGTGTATTTTAACAAGAATACCCTTGAAGCGGGTGTGTTTGAGCTACTTATTCCTATCCACTTCAATGGTGATGTTGGGTGATTTATAGATTTTCGTGGACCTTACCCTCATTCTCTCTGCCCCTGTATCTTTACTCTTTCTATTTACATGTGTTTGTACTTATTTTGCACCATTCCTCACATTCAGAAACTACTAGAAGTCTTACACAGAGCTTTACCAAAGATGTCTTTAATTGCTTCCGATTTCAGCTATCTCCCTGATGTTAGAATTCCCGGTGATCGGGCTCCACTGGTTTCAACAAAGGTATGCCCTATTTTTCATATTGCACAGAGTAGAAAGTAATTATTATGTGAACCACAAGATCATAATTAAATACTTCTGTCTCTTATATGTTATCAAAGTTCAGTCTTATTTTGTACGGAGTATATACCTAAGCTAGGTATACACGATTGATGTTTTAATAGCTTTCTTCTTGTTCTTTTTATTGGTCTGTGCAGAGAGACGGAAGCAGTTCAGATTATGACAATTATTTGGAAGCAAAGGTATGCTTTTTAACTTCACCTTGTCACGTTGGTAATATATGTGTTCGCTCTAAGGCATGCAAACTGGACTTCTTGATTGATACCTAGCACTATGACTTCAGCTTTTGCAGTGAGTATGAGGGAAGACCTAAAAGAACTAAAATGATCTGGTTTTTTTATTCAAAACAACTAAGCTGGTTGCTTCAAGCATTTATGTACTAACATTCACATTCATGCTTTGCTGTTCTCTCATTTAATTGTAAAAAATGTGATATTCTTCATTTTTTTAGCCATTTAAATAGGTTTTGCTTTTTTAGTATGGGGCAATCTTTGTGAAAGACTGAGGCTCTGATTGATATCCGTAATCTGTTTAACACCAAAATAAGCACCTTTTGAATTGGCGTTTTTGCTGAAAGAGTTGTTACCAAACACAGTTTTCCTTTCAGAAAATTCTGTACATCCTGCTCCTTCAGCCAAATTACCTTTTCCAAATGGGCCCTGAATTGAGTAAATCTTAACTCTCAGGCTTGGTGATTTTTGATGTGACATCTGAACTAGGTGACTTACTTGCAATTTGTGTTCTGGTTTATGCACTTCAAAGTATTTATTTTGTTCATTCTTTTGAAGGGGGATGCTGATATATTTTTTCCAACGGATTTTTGGCTTTTGGAACGGATAGACCATTATTGCTCCGGATGGAAGATGATGCAGCAACAAGACAAATCAGCCAAGAAAGGGAAGAAAAGACGTACCATTATGGTAAATTACTGGCCGTGCGGTCTTATATGGCTACTTGTATATATTCCGTAGTAAGCTAGTCACAAGTTTTTCTAGATTATTTTTTTCATTTATGATCACTTAAGCAAGGAGGAAAAGAAGACATACCCTTTATTTAAAAAACAGTACGGCTTAACAATATAATGTGTAAGCTGGCATTTGATGGTGCAAAAGTTGATTCTTCATGGCTTTATTTATAGGAATGTTGTGAACCCAGAAAAAAAGAAAGAAGGAAAGTAGATGGGTAAATTTGGATGGAATATTTTTGGGTGGGAAATAAAAAATGGTTCCATCTTATAGAATTAATACTAGATATATTTTTTTTGAAGAAAAATATTAGATACGTAGTATTGTTCAAAACTCATTTCATTTATACTACCTCCGTCCCGGTGGACTTTGCCAAGTGCAAAGTAGGTGAGAAATAAAAATAGTAAAAACTGTGTGGTTGAGATTTGTGCCGAGGAGAGAGAAATGTGCAGAATCACAAATTAGTTGATTTAATAGGAAAGTGGCAAAGTCCAATGGGACGGAGGGAGTATATTTTAGTTATCTAAAGTCTATAAATATATGTGAAATTTTCTTGAGAAGTTATAATCAAATTATAATTTTCTTTTGCTTTTTAAGCTAAAACAAAAAACTTTTAAAATCTTTTTCCTTAGCATCTTAGTTTTTCCTTACCATTTTTGAGCTCCAAACAATAGGCTTACATGGTGGGGTCTTTGAGAAACTGGGTTGGTATCTTCACAATATATTGTATACTTGATTTTTGCTGCAGCTTGACACATCGGCTTTCATGGAAGAATTCAGTCTTCCCTCGAAGACAAGAACTAAAGACGGGTACAACCCTCTATTAGATGACTTCAAGAACACTAAATTTTACCTTAGTGTACCTACACACAATATCAAGTAGACTTGCTGACTAATCTATCAAGATTTTGAGCCTCTAATTCTTGAGGATTGTTATGGTTGAGATGTATTTTGTTATCTCCCTTGCGAATGGTTGTATGATTGAGATATACGATGTTCAAACTTTGTTCCTTCAAAGATAATAACAATAATATTGTTAACACTTTACAATGACCCCTGGCCATTTATGTCATTAACCCCTTTCCCCGTTTGTATTCATGGGTGGAATGCCATTCTTGGTATTGTCAAAACTAGATTCGTTTGCATTTGGTTTGTTACTGGACAGATGCCGTGAATCCCTTAGAAACAAGGGTCTAAAAGTGAAAAATAGAAGCTTGTACATGACTGTCAGCCTTAGGGGTCAGTCCTGCCCCCGGGTTTGGGTTCTCCCCTCGTTTGTTTCTCATTATTAATCAATCTGTTTCCAATTGACCACTATTTCTAGTCACATCCAAAACACGATGTTGCAAAAGTTTGAATTCGAAAGTTAAAACTTCAAAACACGATACTAAAACTCAAGACAGGTTGTAACAAACTGGTTCTAAGCTAACGAGAACACTGGCTCTAAAGTCTTAACTGGTTCTGTAACAAATTTAGTTGGTTTACATACACGTGACACTGGTCTAGTTCAAGTCCCAAATTGAACACGTGTCAAAACATTAGTTGCAACTTGCAGGATGGATGTTTTTAAAAAAATGCTGAACCAATGTTTGTTTAAAGGAAAATCATGACGGGTAGAGTAATTGTGATGATATTTTATCACTCGTTATTGTTTGTTCAAGGGAAACTTCATAAAAATGTTGGTATTTGAAATGAAATTTGAGTTTTAATTTCATCTTTTTGTTACACAAGAAGATTAAATATTGCAAGGAACGAATGTGAAACGAATAAATAGGAAGCTTAAATTTATAAATAACATCAATCATGGATATACACCAATCGCTCTTTGTTCCAGACTTACAACAAATATCACTTTTCATATCCTCCGAACCCATTGTTCAAGCCGAAGCTGCTTTAAAGGAGGGCCCAAAGGTGGCTTACTCTTCCGTGGACACTGCCATTTCCCAGTAACCTGAGATGCATCAGGCGGTGGTTGATTTTGCTGAGCTTTAGTGACGTCTGAAAGAATCCTTCCTGCAGTATGCTTCGGCTTCCCATTGATGGATTTATCTTTGGTTGGATCACTAAGAGTGAAAGACTGGTTTTCAACATCATGTCTCCTACTTCTGGCCTTTATTGTAGAGATGAAGCCTTTCTCTGCCACACCATTTCTGACTTCGTCTCTGTTGATGCTACCCCCAGCCTCCATTTGGGGTGACTTTCCGATCACTTTACTAAAGCACTCACTCTTCTGCATTTTCATACAAAAATGTTGTTCTCAATGATTTATTTAGTGCATTAAAGAGAAATAGAAGGCTGCATTTTATTGAAAAATGCCCCACCTACTTTCCCAAGTTTCTATTGAGAAATTTGGTCCTAAGTCACTATAACAAGTTGCCACCATCCGAAACATGTTATATGAACCCACTTTTTCAGTGGTTTATACACAGAGACAACTTCGCGCTTTCTACTTAGAAGGAAAGCCGTCTCACATTTATCAAGTGCAAAAAAATCCACGGGAAAGATTGGGACACAGATCCCAATAACTATGGAAAGACTGATTTTCATCATCATGTCTCCTACTTCTGACCTTTAGTGTAGAAATGAAGCCTTTCTCTGCAACACCATTTCCGACTTTGTCTCTGTTGATGCTACCCCCAGGCTCCATTTGGGGTGACTTTCCGGTCACCTTACTATAGCACTCACTCTTCTGCATTTCCACAAAAAACACTGTTTTTCAATGATTTATTTAGTGCAGGAAAGAGAAATAGAATGTTGCATTTTATTGAAAAAAATGCTCATATACTTTTCCAAGTCTCTAATATGCAATTTGATCCTATAAGTCGCTATAACAAGCATACAGAGTTCAATATTGGTATACTCTAACAAGCCGCCCCCATCCGAGACAGGTTATATGAACCCTCTATTTAGTGGTTGATAAACAGAGAGAAATCCGTCTTTTAGAAGGAATGCGCTCTCACATCCATCAAGTAAAAAACTATAAAAATTCACATGCAAGGTACGTTACTAGTTATTTTCTTTTATAATAGAGATCCCAATAACTACGGAAAGACTGGTTTTCATCATCATGTCTATCTCCTACTTCTGACCTTTATTGTAGAGATGAAACCTTTCTCTGCAACACCATTACCGACTTCGTCTTGGTTGATGCTACCCCCAGGCTCCATTTGGGGTGACTTTCCGGTCACCTTACTGTACTCACTCTTCTGCATTTACATACAAAAACATTGTTTTTCAATCATTTATTTAGTGCACGAAAGAGAAATAGAAGGCTGCATTTACATACAAAAACATTGTTTTTCAATCATTTATTTAGTGCACGAAAGAGAAATAGAAGGCTGCATTTTTTTGAAAAAAATGTTGTGTCTACTTTCCCAAGACTAACAAGCAATTTGGTCCTATAAGTTGCTATAACAAGCAAACAAAGTTCAAGATTGGTATACTCTAACAAGCCACCATCATCCGAAACATGTTATCTGAACCCTTTTTTAGTGGTTGATATACACAGAGAAGTCCATGCTTTCTCCTAAGGAGGAAAGCCGCCTCACATCCATCAAGTACAAAACTATAAAAGTCCACATGCAAGGTACGTTACTAGTTAATTTCTTTTATGATAGAGATCCCAATAACTATGGAAAGACTGGTTTTCATCATCATGTCTCCTACTTCTGACCTTTATTGTAGAGATGAAACCTTTCTCTCCATTTGGGGTGACTTTCCGGTCACCTTAGTATAGTACTCACTCTTCTGCATTTACATACAAAAACATTGTTTTTCAATCATTTATTTAGTGCATGAAAGAGAAATAGAAGGCTGCATTTTATTGAAAAAAATGTTGTGTCTACTTTCCCAAGTCTCTAATAAGCAATTTGGTCCTATAAAGGTTGATATACAGAGGCAAGTCCACACCTTATTACAAGGAAATCCGTCTCACATCTTTTAAGTACAAAACTATAAAAGTCCACATGCAAGGCATGCATTCCTCGTTAATTTCCTTTACAATTTCCTCGTAAAATGTTGGCATTTTTTCATGTATTGCAACACATGCAATATTGATGAGGTAACAACTTCCTCTTATGTATTGGATTGTAACAACTAACAAATGAACAAGAACACCTACCTTTGGAGAAGAAGGCTGGTTGCAATTCTTTATATCCATGAAAAACACTTCTGTAGAGCCTAAGTTCTCCCATTTCCTTTGGCCACCATTGTTACTTTCTCCAATATCAAATTCACTTTCTTCATATTTAGAAAGAGTAAATCCATCACTGCTGTCTAATGTTGGAGATTCATACACATAGCTGGGGAACCAGTTCCTAATATCAAGGGGCTCTAGCAGAACGAATGCAGAAAAATAGAAGTCAACATGAGGATATTTTGTATAAAACAATTGTAACTGTGATAAGAGCAAAAATCTAGAACTGGCAAGAAGGTAAGTTCAAGTTTCATAGACATATGTTAAGCTGTGAGTTTTTGAAATAGTTGGGAGGAGAGTTGCACCTGAAGAAAGTTGAATGTCTTCTGAAGAAGAGATATTCTGAATGATAAAGATAAACAACCTCTAAGATAAGGGTAATAAATAAATTGAGACTTTAAAGTTTAAAAAAAATCTCTAACATTTCCAAAGTACGAGATGACACCATTGACCCAAAGAAAAACTACGTCACCTGACTACAATTTCGTTTTATCCCTTAAATGTACTGGACTCAAGTCACTCAACAAGACCTTCTGAAAGCCAAGAGAAACTTCTTTCCTTCCTAATGTCTCTGGCCACCATTGTCATAGCCATTATCATTTGATTGTGGGACTCCAGAATGAGTATATTCATCAATATCATAAAAAAACATAGTGTATTTGGTATATGTGCTTTCTCTTGCAGAATATGTCATCATACAGTGTGATTTTTTTTCTCTTTTGCATTGCACAGGACAATCCAATGAATTCCAATTGCTCACTAGTGCAACAACATCGCTATCAAAGGATAAAACTCATTAAAAAAACAATTTTTTCCTTCTAAACACGTCAAGAAAATATTGTTCCCAGTAACGCGAAAGATTCACGCACATAGGAAATCAGAATTAAGAACTAAAATGAAAGAGACACAAACACGCAGTCACAATAACCCACTCAAGGACAGAGATTTGGAGAAATGGATATTGTAGAGGCATAAAGAGGACGGGTAACCTAACCTCATTCATGACATCGGGATTAGCTTCAACAGGAAGCCATCTCTTGGGTGCTGAAGTAGCCATTGTTTATCGACCTACCTGCTTTCCCTCGCTTTTTTTTGTTTTGTTTTGTCTTGCTGTAGTGACATGATCCGTCTGGGCTAATCGAGTTCCCGCGCACCTGGGCAAATTCGTAAGAGAATTAAATAGGGAATTTGATTTTACACTTTCTGGGTGATATCAGTCTTTACATTTCATTTTCAGAACCAATAATGTGTTCATTTCATAAATTCAAAAATTGTGAAAGTGTGATGTAAAAAGTCAAATAATTTTATAATGAATTAGTGTGCATATATAAAAAAGTCAAATTCTTACGATTAAATACTAGCATCTCGAACAACTCTACAATAAAAAAGTTTGTTTCAACACATCGGCATGTACACGTTCGTGTACACGCTTTTGTTTCATTTGTACATAGACGTGTCTAAGATGGGTGTGTACACAATTTTTTTTTTAATTTTAGAATATTTAGCTAGGTTTTCATGTTCATCTATACACCACGCGTGTCCATAGAGATTCTTAACAAGAAGCTATATATCACTTAAAATGTGAGATTAGATGATACCATTTCAGAACACCTCTTTGAGGTCAATATCCCACAATAGGAAGATCTTAAATGTAAGAATTGATACACTTATCAGCACATTGAAAAATATCAAGGTCTTAAGGGTATTTATTGATATATCAAAAATTTTAAAACTTGGGGCGGAAGAAAGCAGTGGGTCCAGATGGCATACCGATCGAGGGTTGGAGAAGTTTGAGAGACAGAGGCATCGAGTGGTTAACAAATTTCTTCAACAAGATTTGGAGAAACAACATGTCAACGAGTTGGAGAAAGAGTACTCTTATTCCCTTATTTAAGAATAAAGGTGATGTATAAGAATGTGCCAACTATCGAAGGATTAAGCTTATGAGTCATACCATGAAACTTTGGGAGCGAGTGATTGAGCAAAGACTTCGAAGAACGGTGAAGATTTCAGAGAATCAATTCGGTTTTATGCCTAGTCGCTCAACAAATGAGGCTATTCACCTTCTTCGGCAACTTGTGGAGAAGTATAGAGACGCTCACAAGGATTTGCAAGTAGTGTTCATTGACTTAGAAAAGGTTTATGATAGGGAACCTCGAGAAGTTCTTTGATGGGCCTTAACTAGAAAAAGCATTTCACGCAAGTATATCAACATCATCATGGATATGTATAAGGATTGTACTACAAGTGTCCGTACTAGTGTAGGGAGGACTGCAGAGTTCCCTATTACTATTGGAGTGCACTAAGGATCGGCTCTGAGCCCTTTTTTATTTGGGGAAAACTGTCAAATAGGTCCTCGAACTTTCATAAAAAAATCAATTAAGTCCTTCTATAGGAAACTCTGTTCGGTCGTCGCGATTTGGGGTGGTTCCCGGTGGAATATTCTGATGAAATTTTTTGAGCATCTTATTCACCAAGTCTAGTTTACTCATACCAAATTGCATCTAAAAATTTAATCGGGAGCGCATTCAAATTAATTCGAGAACGCAAAAATGCGCAGTTATCTTCAATAATTAATTTCAATCTTGTATCATCTTTTCCCCTCTTTTTTTTCTTATTTTTTCTTTTTCTTTTATATTTTTATCCTTATATATAAATATTACTGTATCCTTTTCATTTTATCTTTTATATGTATATTCATCTCTTTTATATTATCTTTTTTTATAATAGCTTATCTTTTTAATCTTTATTTTCTTTCTTTTCCTTTTGGTGATATCATGTATCGATTCATGTTAGCCGACCCCAATATCGTTTGGGATTAAGGCTTGGATTATGTTGTTGTTGTTGTAGTATCAAAAATTTTAAAACTACACACAATCATATTAAACTAATCCAATACGGTACAATACTATATCATGTTAGTCAGTATACAAATTTTTCATGTGCAACATATCAAAAATTTGGTGTTATCCTCACATCTGATATGTTTGAGAGTTTAGGGGGAAAGGGATGGAGAGATTTTGAAGATAAGTTGTAAGAGAGGAAATGAATAGAAAGGTGAGTATACTCTTCTTCTTATTTGAGAGTAGTAGTAAATTTGTAAACATAGCCTTAGAAGAAATTATAATTAAAATCATTTCTGAGATATGATGGATTTAGATAGTTGAACTGATATTCATTCTAAATTGAGCCACAATTATAATTTAGTTAGTTATCCTTCAAAACTCCTCGTTTTGGTGAAACTTAAAAATTGATTATTGGGGCCTTGGGGGGTTTTGGAAGGTCACAAAAACATTGGAAAACCATTCATCCACCTCTATTAAACTCTTAAACACAAACAGGAGAGTCGTCAACCCTCACATGTCTTTCCCTCTCCCAAACACCAACTCCCAAACACACTCTAAAAGCGAAGTAGGACAGAACACAAATCAATAAGTAAGCTAGCAAAATTATGTTATTATACCAATTTAAATAATTGGGCCTTTTTATAAATTGGAATATTGAGCATTGTACATTTTAAGGGTAAGGACCAAAAGGAAAGCTCAAGCCCACACATCCTGAAAAAAGGAGATCGGGTGTCCATCCTTTTCGAATGGCTGCTTGGAAGTTTTACAAGTCCAGAGTTTTGCAGTGGGGCGCGTGATTATCTGCAGTATCCACCTTATCCGCCAAGCTGAGCAGTGATGACCTCTCTTTCATGGTGGTTGGCAACCCCCTCCACCGCCACCTCCACCGCGTTTAAGACATTTTGTCTACTTCCGCCGCCTGGGAAAGCTGCAACAAACTGTTTGAGTTTCCGCGCGAAGGACTACGAGAAGCTCATAGCTAAAGCCCACGGGAGATCTGTGAACTCTCAGTGCCATTTGTCGAGCAAGAAGGACAACGGTAAGAATGTACGGTGCACGGCGGCCGCGGAGCAGAAGTCGACGCTTGAGGGGTCGATACTGGAGTCGCTTTCCAATGGCAAGTTCAGGATCCGATTAGAAAACGAGGACGTGATTATCGGTTACATTTCCGGCAAAATCCGGAAGAATTTCATCCGTTTATTGCCTGGAGACAGAGTAAGGGTTGAAGTTAGTCGATATGATTCGAGCCAAGGACGGATAATCTTCAGGCTCCGCGGCAAAGATCCGAATTAGGAATAGTTACTGGCGTGGAGTTTTCTGTTTGTATCAGTATGGTTTGCTAGGGTTGGGAGAAGGACGTACTATGAGAGCTGGTGTACTTATTTGATTCAAACTGTTGAAGTAACATTTTTGCACAAACTATTCTCCTATTATCTTTCCATTTACATGCCAAATGTGAGGAAATCTGATTCAAGTTATTGTCCAACTTCAAAAATGATACTCAGAAGTCAAAACTATTGTTCAATTAGTCCAAATGCTATGGTTGTGGGAACTAAATCTTTGACCAATGACCATCTTTTGCTTCTAAAAACTATGGGAGTAAATACTGAAATGTCTTCCATGGATATGTACCATCTATTTATTCATTTGCAGTAGGCTGTTGCTACATATTCTCCCATGGGCTTCTGTCTTTTGGAACATACAATATATCTGGATGTCTAGATGGATAAAGAAAAAACCATGCACCTCATCAAGCAAAGGTAAGAAAAGAAAACACAATGCCTGTACAAGGAAGCTTACTGATGATAAGATACAAAACACAAAAGTATATCCATGACAGAGACTTGAAGTTACTAGCTTTAGTTTTGTTGGTTAAATATGACTTCCTATCAAATGCCACGCCTACTAATTCGTAAAAAGATATTAAAACTATTGATTGTTCATGCAATCATGAGTGTCTCAATGGAATAGCCTTGTTCTCATAGTTTTCTACTGGATATATATGAGTGAAGGTTTTGATTGTTTTGCTCTGCATGATTAAATGTGGCATGTTTGTGTTCCCCCTAGTCTTTGATGAAGTGCAATGACATAATGTACGTTGATCCTTGGAAAAATGGCCAATGTTCTTGATAATCTAATCTGTATGACAATCAGAGGATTCAATTTTTTTTTTTTTGAAAACATCAGGTTAAAGACAACAAGAGTGGTAATAAGCAGAATTCATTAAAGTAAAAGCTTGGGAAGTGTTTGCAATTGCTTCTGCTAATAAAATGACTTATTAAAGTGATTTTGGAGAAAGTGCCTAATATTGAAAGTTGGCAGTGTTTGAGAAAATTTGATTTTGAAAAGTAAAAGAAAGTTGTTAGTGTTTGGTAAAATATGTTTTTTTTGTGTAACAGGAAAAGTAAAAAGCATATTCCAGTTTTTTAGCTTTGAAGTGTTTGATTTAAGTAGAAATTCACTTGAAAACAGCCACTTTAGGTTTTCTAAGCCGAAAGGTGAAACACGTTTTTTTAATGGTTTGCAAACATGCCCTTACTTTTTGCTGAAGCAAGGAGTATAACATGTTATCCTGCTTACCTCTGGCAGGAAAGAAAGACACCCAGTTTGTTCCCATATCTACTGGAGTAAATGCTCTGGGGTTTGACTCTCTAACTATGTATGAGAGCTTCAAACTGATAACACAGGACGTTCCAAATCATACGCGCCGGTTCTTTTGTGGAAATGTGGTTGATGGTTTCTTCAATACGATCCAAACATGGCATGATCGGCCTATGCGAAAATCGTTAATGCTAGCAAACTTTGTAAATACGAAGTATTTGAACATATCAACGTCATAAAAATGCCTAACGTCTGCTAGTAGTCAGTTAGTCAGTATGATTGAGGTTAGTCAGTATGATTGAGGTCTAACAACAATGCAGATTCATTTGGGTTTCGCTATAAAATTGAGCTATCAAAAGCCGGAAATTATTATTTGCGTAGAAGGAGGTTCCAACTGAATTCTTAAAACAAGATGCCACCAACCATTACGGAGTATTAATTTATTTGATCAGGCATATATAATTGTGTCATAACAAAATTAAGAAGGGCATTATGAAAACAATTAAAATTAGGGTGGTAGGTACATTTTCAAGTGAACTCACAAGTCACATCTCTCCGTACAACTTCATATTTTTAGAGTTAATTCCCAAAAAAGGAGTAAAATAATGCAAACATACATAAGTAGGCGTTATAAGGGAGTGTTTGCAACTGCTTCTGCTTAAAAAAAAGCACTTTTGGAGAAGTAATGAAAAAGTGATTGGTAGTAAAAGTTGATAGTGTTTGAGAAAAAAGTGATTTTGAAAAGTAAAAGTTGGTAGTGTTTGGTAAAATAAGTGCTTTTTGTGTAATAGAAAAGGGAAAAGCACTTTTCACACGCAAGCCGAGAAAAAGTAAAAATTGGTAGTGTTTGGTAAATAAGTGCTTTTTAAAGCCAAAAGCTGAGAAGTGCTTTTTTTTAAGCAGTTGCAAACACTCCCTAAGTTTGGTACTATTAACAAGAGAGGAGTTGACAATGACATTATTTTGTTGTACGACATATATCTCTGAAAAGCAACCACTATCCGGCTGGCACTTAGGTTATAACAAATGTTGGGTGTGTTTCGAAGAACAAAGAAATTAATTAATAAAAATTAATTAATTAAATAAAATGACGTAAAGAAAACAAGAAATGAGATGAAGCAGAATAAGCCAAAGCTCGTGCTACGCACGATTTCCTTAAAACGTATTCGTTGCCTCCCGGGGTGCTAGGAGCGTTGCAAGAATCGTTTCCCAGGATACGATGACTACGAACAAGCGTTTGAGCACTCAAACGAAAGTTCCAACGAACGTGAACAAAGCAAGAACACAGAAGAGTTTTTTTGTGGAATGCTAGAGGTGTTTTTTAGCTCTGAAATATGTGTACGAAGTGTATATACTTGTGTGTTTTGCAAAGCACCTGCTAGCCTATTTATAGCGTGGATTTGTTGGCTGAAAAACGTTTGCATGTTAATGACGTTTAATGGATATGGCTGTTGGACATCAATGCCCAGCATGTTGGTATTGTATCGTCCAAAACGTCCATATGAACGTTGGCATTCAATAGCCAGCTCGTTGGCACTGATCTGTCCAGAAAAACGTTCCAATTCCATGCATTAAGGCATATGAACGTTGGGCAGTTAATGGAGAAAAAAAACGTTACCGAAGAACAAAAGTTAACATTATCTTTAGAAGATAGGATTTTTGGACGGCATTCGTGTCCGTAGGTCGCCCGCGCACGCAAGCCGCGCTTTTTGCTCTTCGGATTCGAGATTTGATTCGCACCCCCCTGCGCGCGTGAGAGAGCCTTTCACCTTAGGAATCTTAACTCCTTGGGGGGGGGGGGATTTTGGGGGGGGGATTTCCCTTTATAAAGGGTCCAAATTCCCTTGTGATTTTCGGTGTGGGAAAAACCCATACCAAAACATCACCTTTTCCTAAGCAAGGACAATCCGAAAATGTGAAAGGCATGTGAGGTTTAGTAAACCTCCTGTTTATATTTGGGAGTTAATAAAATGTGAGGGAAAGGTTTTGGGGGTTTATGTAGCCCTTATAAAACCCTCCAAAAGTTTTTTTTTTAGTTCCCCTGATTCCGGAGTTTTTGAAGGTACAAAGTTGAACGGGATTTGATCTCTGCGTAAAGTCAGCTTTAAGAGTCTAGACTAGATACGATATGCTATCTGCTACTAGCATCCTTCTCTATACTCTATACGTAATTTAGATATGCGCTCAAGCCAATCCACCCAATTACCCAAATTCTCATTTTCAAAATTTTAACTCCCAAACAAGTGGGAGGAATCCCTTCCCATTTCCTTCCCCTCCCCTTCGAAAAGGTGATGGGAATCCCTTCGAAAAGCGATTTCTCATTCACCCGTTATCCGTTTTGAGCGTACCATATATCGAATTGTAGCCCTAAGCAAGGACAATCCGAAACCACTTTGACCCGACCCAAATCGGAAGTAAACCCCGCTCAAAAAATTGCCCCAAAATGATCATTTATTGCAATTTAACACACTTTTTTCCAACAACAAATACCCATGCTGGTCATCCTAAGTTATTGGTCGCCACCGGAAAGTCACAAAAACTCACTAAAATTGCTTCTTCTTTTGGACGCTTAGGCGTTGACCAGGTCTCTAGTCGCTACCAAAAAGTTCCGGCTACTACAGGTTCCGCTAGGGAGCCGCCACTAGACTCTAAATGGGTTGATAAACCTAGAAACTTTAAAGGGGTTTTGTCATCAATATTACTAAAATAGACAATGGACAAACACTCCTACTTAAAAAATTAAGTAGAAGCAGAATAAATTCCAAACACTCCTTATGAATGTTAGAGGTTGTGGAGGTCTAGAGCGGAAGAGAAATAGGTGCATATCGATGATTGAAGGCTTGAAGTCTAGAACTGGAACGGAGAAGAAGGAAGCCGATGAATTGGACGAATAGGGTTAGTTTTATCAAGGGCATAACATGATAACAATCCATTTATTAATGTTTACTGTTTGGTCTCCTTTTTGTCCACTTTAAAAGCTAGTTCTATTTTTGTCCACTTAAAAGTGTGTACTATCATTCTTGTCATTCATTTCAACCTTAAATCCTAAGAAGGATTGATTAACCTACCCCAGGGGCCCAGAGGGATAGGTAAACTCTAATACTACCTCCGTTCTCTTTTAGTTGCAACATTGAATTTTTTACACTATTCGCATGTTCTACTTTGACTACATTTTATTAATTGATGTATAATAAATTAAATTTTTAAAAAATATTGTTAAATTCTTCTCATTCTAAATTTTCAAAATATGATTTTTTTAATTTTTTTACTAATAAGGAATAAAAGATATTAATGTTCAAACTTGTGCATTGGCAAACGTGAAATGTTGACTGTTGCAATTAAAAAGGAACGGAGGAAGTACTTCGTATAAAACAATGGGTAAGGGAAAACTAATTGTAACTAGCCCTGGACTTGGGCCAGTTCAGGCCCGGTTCGGGCCTGGGCCCGGACGGGCCTCGGTTCTAGAAAGGGGAGGCCCGGAACCGGCCCGGGTAACCCCCGGGTCCGGGTTAGGCCGGGCCGGGCCTCGGTTAATTATTAACTTTTTTTTATTTTTTTTAATTAACCCCCCACTCACCCCCAAACCACCTCAAATGACCCAGCCTAACCCAAAAACATTAAAAAATTGAAAAAAAAAATTAAATGAAAATGGCCCGGACCGGGCCCGAACCGACGTGCCCCAGACCGGAACTACCTCGGGTCGGGCCTGCCAGGACCGGTCCTTGGCCGGGCCGGCGGTTCAGGCCGGTTCCGTGGCGGGCCGCCCGGCCCGAGTCCAGGCCTAATTGTAACTACTATTTTGTAAATCAAAAAATGTATTCATAATTTCATACTTGACACTTATAAAGTTATAATGCTTTACTTTGGGGAAGATACCTTTATTTAACAAAAATGACACTTAATGAAGAGACTCCAACTTCAGTTTAATTTGGATAGAACAAACTGAATTTAACTGTTAACATGATGAGCTTAATTGAACCTAGGTTGAGTAAAAAATTATTCTTTCTTTCCATTGGGGATTGCAAATTTTGACTTGAGCTCAACTAACGTTTACTACCTTCTCCTTTTTATACTCCGTATCTATTTAAAAAGTTTGCTACATTTTCCCCTTTTGATAAGTTTTATTTATTCTTTCATACTTTTATACCTTATTAGAATTAATTTTAGAGAACTTATATTCAACTCGAACAAACTGATCAAAGTTCATATATACGTAGCCCTCGTACTACTTTTAAGTGCCTAAGCTTTTTGAACAAAGAAAACTCAAAACATTACAAACACAGAATAACTACTTCTGCTTATAATGCAATAGTAACCACATAAAAATGCCATAATATCTAACCAAACGCTCCCCTCACATAGTGAACTCATAGCCTTGGCCTCAGAACCCCCTTTGTTGCATCCATAAACCTGGCAAAATGCTTGCATAATCTGCAGCACAAGTAGCATATCCATAAACAGATACAGCAGACCCTTCAGACCAATTCCCATTGCACAGGCTTCCTTGTCAACTCTGCACCATTCGTAACCTTCTTCCCCACACACTTCCACAATCTCTTCCACACATTCCTCCACCATCTCCTTCACTTGTTTCACCACCTTCCTGCTTGCACACTCCTTAGGCTTCAAGTTCCCCACAGATTTTCCGATACCGTTGAAGATTTCAACAACTTCTACGTCATCCAGTTTTCCCTTGATGACCCCCCTCGCCCGAAGCATTGCCACGTCATCTGGTGCTTGCAGTATGTTGCTCATCAGGTCAATATATCCAGCAAGCTCAAAGGCTGAGTCTTGGGTTGCAATGGAAGATTCATATGCCACTAAGTTTCTTAAAACCACTTCTCAATCACATTTTAAAGTAATCTCAGGGAGATAAACCACTCTTATGTCCTCGATGTCAAATCTGATATCTCTAATCCGGTAAACCCTTTCCTTTCCAGCAGCTCGAAACCCACATTGTGTTTCTTGGACAGGTCCGATACCGAAGGAATTTGATGACTCTTCTTTGGGGGTTTTGATAGTTTAATCTTAGTAATCTCATCAGATAACATGCTGTTCTCCACAACTTGTACTAAATTCCAAATCACGCGTAAGCAACAGAACATGGCACGTTGTTCACACTACGTACTACTATCCTCTTCCTACTTTTTGAAGTAGAGATTTGCAGGCTAATTTTGTAGATTTTGATAGGATTTGTTTTTTGGTAAGTCGTGCCTAATGGAAAACTGGAATGTCTTTCCTTATAGTCTATTCGTTCAGAATTGTAAAGCACTCTACAGTTTACGAAGTTTGACGATAAAGCAACCAGAGAATCTCTGACCATAGTCGCAAAAATTAGAATTAAATTTGATAAAAATTTGATTTATAAAGTAAGAGATTATAAATGATTTATGTTGACCAAGTATATGAAAAAATATCTTGTAAAATAGGAGTGAGAGAGTACTTATCTCCTTAGACCTTGGCACAAGTTTTAAAGAAAAAATAACATGGATAATGTAAAAAGTTTAGTGATTGTATTTTAATGAAAATATGTGATAGAGAAAGAGATAAGGGTAATAAAAATGGAGGTATAATTAACTTAAATGAGCTACTAGTTTGAACAAAGAGAATTATTAAACATAGTACTATGAATAATAAATGAAGAGAAAAAAGTAATAACTAACAATTGGAGTAAATATTTCAATTTTACTACAAATGCTTATGTGGCTAGTCAAATTATAGGATGCTCTAAAGGTATCTTACTCTATATAAAAAGAGGTGGAAAATCAGATGATTTTCCCGCCCAAAAGTGTCACATCAACAATATAAATAAAAAATAAAGAAAATGGAGAGATCGGTCAAAACTATTGTTCAGGCACGTCAATTCAAAAAGTAAATCAGGCCTACAGTAAAGCTGAATAGTAGCTATTGAGAGTACTTATTATAGTACTGCATTGGAAATATACACTTTAAATAATACGAGTATAGTGCAAGAGATTCTCTCTAATTAAAATAGATACTCCGTACTAAATTACAGCAGCCTTCTCGAATTTGGTAAAGGTATACAGCTGGCTTCCAACAGCTGGCTTCCAACAGCTGGCTTCCTGCGGACGCTTGATATTTTTTTTTGAACGGAATCAACTCAATTAGCATTAATCAAATCAAAAGATAAAGGGATAAAGGGATAAATACCTTATATGACTAAAACTCATTACAATTCCCCAAATATGACCAAGTATGTTTATTTCCCAACATATGACTCTAATGAGAATAAAACAGTTATATCCGTAATATCAAGAAACATTGAAAGACAAAAAAGACCTTAACATACATTCTTATAGTGGGTTTTAGGATAGGAAAGAAATCAAAGAATCCAAACTCCCATAAACGCATAATTAATGATTGAGAGAAAATCGACCACTTCCATGTTTTTAGGAACAAGATTAGTTAATAATTTAACCAAAATGTATACGCTACCTACCAAATTACCAATTGAAATCGTGCCCCCCCCAGAAGCAAAATAGGAAATAGAAAGAGCAGAGATTCGATTGGAAATTTTTTCTGAAGAGGTCTGAAGAAACGACGATTTTATTTCTTTTTCCTCCTGATCAGGCTTTGAGTGCAATGATTTTTAATTATGGCATTACTATATTGCATTAATATACTGCACTAAATAGTGTATTATTTAACTTATATTTTGTGGATTGTGTTGTGCAGTTATTTAACTTATAAAATATATGTAGTAATTTAGTTTTCATTACATTTTCATTATTAATTAGGTAGAATGCATGATGATTAAGAAGATTGAGTATGTGAGTAATTCATGCATTATATATTGGTTGTTTATGTAATGCATTAACATGGACAATAAGTGCATTACATTGCAATGAATGAACTAATTCATTGCACTAAATGAAAAAACTCGTCTTCATTCCATAAATTCAATGCATTCCATAAATTATCAGTGATACATTGAAATTCAATGCATTGTATAAACTATCAGTAATACACTCATCAAACTTCAAAAAAAATCTTGATTTAAAGGCTATATGTTGTTTATGTAACACGAAAAATATATTTCATCAAATGAAAACATTTATTACACTAAATGATCGAGAAAAATCATTACACTAACTTTTTTGTATTAACAATAACCATACAGAACTCAACATTAAATTAGAGAAGTATATTAGTAACAATGAACTGAAATTCATCTCTTAATATACATATGCATGGTGGATCTTTAACACCATGATCATGTTGATTATCATTAACAACCGAGATATTTTCTCTCTTAATCACCATCTTCATCTTCGTTATTACATAAAGGTTGACGGAGTGGAACATCCAGTGGCGGATCCAGTGCCGGGGGATTGTATTGTGTTGCTTCATCTACACCCCCCCGATTCATAATCGTCTACGACTTCAAAAAACAACAAATGCAATAGAATGTGAATAACGCATAAACTATGAAATTACATCTTTTCTTTTCTAATTTTACGATGAAGTCTTGTTCTGCAAAAGTTTCACCCTTCGTGTGTCTGCACTCTTCTTCTTCCGCCAGCAACTTCTTCAAGGATGTGCAGGATACATACGGCAACCAACGCCTAAAGATTATGGAGGACGGGTATAATGATTATAATCAAAAGAGAGAATGGAACGAGTAGCATGATTAAAATCAGAAAATTCAGTTACCTATTTGGTTGGGATCCTTAATAAATGCAGAATAATTATGGTAGTGATATGCATTAAATAAGGAACCTATTAATTCTTCAATATATCTATCGTATAAGGGCAACCATGGAACGAAAAATCAAAGAAAGGGGCGGATGGCATGAATATGATGACATGTACCATCATATTAGGAAAAGAAACATACAAGTCATATAATGGGAAAGAGAATGACTTTTAGTAATACAGAGGGTAAATTTCTCAAAGATAAAGCGCCGTTGATACATCTCGGAGGATTATATAACCAAATACGACAACCAGACATAGAACTAGCTACTCTAGCCAACACATGAGCAACTTTGTTCGCTGATCGTTTAATAAAAGTGAAGGTGATATTTGTAAACCTTCTACTTATAGTACGAATGTCTTCTGCCAAAATACCCACCGAAGAAAGGCTAGAACCCTTTTGAATCTCCGAAATAGCTTGAAGGGCATCCGACTCTACTTCTACGCAGTCCCATCCCTCATCTTTTATCCAACTGAGGACCTCACGAATAGCCATAAGTTCAGCTTCTAAGGGAGAAAACCTGCTGACCCCAGACTTTGCACCAGCAGCAATGAAATCCCCTAGCTCATTCCGGACTACCCAGCCAAGCCCGCAGCCCACCCTTCCTTTTCCAGCGTCAACATTAAGTTTCCTCCAACCAGCTGCTGGCAGCCTCCACAATTGCGAATGAAAGGCCCCCCTGTACCCAACGAAGTCCCTTGCTGCTGCACTTGGAGCCAATCATTAACAAAACTCTTAGAAGTCAACATTACAATGGAAGCTTTTGAAGATCTCCCTTGCCATACTCGAGTGTTTCTCTCCCCCCACAAGCCCCAGCAACCCCAAGCAATAGTCTGCAACTCCGGCTCCTTCTTTGCCATAAAGACCGACTGCAGCCACCCCATAAATGTAACCTCCGAGGTTCCAATGGACTGCCAACCCACTGAACTCCAGGCCTCTTGAGCTACCGGACACCGAACAAACAAATGCATTAAGGATTCATCACCCGCTCCACATAGGCCACAGGCTTCTGAACACTCAACCATCCTATGTCTTAAGTTCTCTCTAGTCGGTAAACAATCGCAACAAAGTTGCCAAAAAAACAATTTTATTTTAGGCGGCAGCCGCCAACTCCACATCACTGTCCAATCAGTCCACTCCGTTGGCTGAACTTCCCCTCTCAATCGCCTATAGCAGCTCCGGACGGTGAATTTTCCTCCCTCCTCCCATTTCCAAACCTTTCTGTCCGGGACCTCCCTTATGCTCAGGGGGATACTCCTAATTAATTCAACGTCCCTGTCATTAAACAAGTCCTCCAATACATCAATGTCCCACTCACGACCATGCGTAGAAATAAGCCCCTCCACCGTACCGAAGCTTGTTCCAGACCTTCCACAATTCCAGAAGAAATATTTGGATTTTCCTTATCTGGCAGCCAGGGGTCATCCCAGATTTTAATAGACCTGCCATCACCAACTCGCCATTTATACCCTTCCTTAATTGCTCCTTGAGCTTCCATCAAGCTTCTCCAAACAAAGGAGGGATTAGACCCCAGCCTTGCTGTCAAGAAATTTCCATTTGGAAAATATCTTGCTTTGAATATTTTTCCAACCAAAGAGTTTGGTTCAGAAAAGAGCCTCCAAGCTTGTTTAGCCAACATTGCAACATTAAATTCTCGAATTTTACGAAATCCCAATCCACCAAACTTTTTTGGCCTGCATAACCAATCCCAATCCCTCCATCTAATCCCTCTCTCCCTTTTACCATTCCACCAATATCCATTCATAATAACCTCAATCTCCCTACACAGATCTTTAGGCACGAGAAAGACATGCATGGCAAAAGTTGGCATAGCCTGAATAACCGTCTTTAACATGATCTCCCTTCCTGCTCTAGAGAGAAATTTATTATTCCAACTTTGTAGCCGATTAACCACTCTTTGTTTCAAATAGCTCAAAATCTCTTTCTTTCCATGCCCGAATAAAGCTGGCAGACCCAAGTATTTCTCCTCCGGACCTGCTTTTCCTACCCCCATCATCTCGGTCAAGCCCTCTTTATACTCACTTGAGACATTGGAGCTAAAAAATAATTTAGATTTAGCAAAATTAATAACTTGTCCCGAAGCCTCCTCATACACCTGTAACGTCTCCTTAATAACTGATGCCTCGTCATGACTGGCCTGGAAAAATAAAAGACTATCATCCGCAAATAATAAATGTGAAATCCTTGGAGCTCCTCTAGCAATAGCCACTCCATGTATTCGCCCAGATAACTCCTGTCTACGAAGAAGAGAGCCCAACCCCTCTGCAACCAGAATAAACAGATAAGGAGAAAGGGGATCACCTTGTCTCAAACCCCGATTAGGAAAAATCGGTCCGATCTCCCCATTATCAAACGGAATAGAATACGTGACTGAACGTACACACTCCATGCGGACGCTTGATATTAGCATATGAATTCAGTATAAATAGTCCTGATTTCCCCACCATCCATTGCAGTGGAACACAATGTTTAAATTAGCACCATTGTGAGTATGAGTTTGTCAACAATTTTGTTTATACTTCGTACTGCTTATACAGTTATACTTAATCAGGTGGGCATGATTTGATTTATATTTCATGCGGAGGTAAACATGCATTGATATTTGTACGTTTTTTTAGTTCAACTTCTCTGAATGATATGATTAACTTCAAACCTCCAGGGTCATTTATAAAGGACCTGGACAGCTGGACTCAAACCCACGAGTTATCGATCGCGTTCGGAGGAGTGTTCGAAGGAGGTCATCATAGTGGTGTAAATTCTTTTTGAAAGCTAACAAAAAGTCTTCAAAGTTGAAATTCATCACTAGACAGAGAGATGTACTATCAACTAAAAGCTTAAGCTACAACCTACATGCTCTGATTGCTCTCCATTCTTAATAGACATAATATAGAATTATAAATGTAAATTCAAAGATAGTACATACTACAGATAAATTTGTAGAGAAATTGAATTAAAAGTTACATGCTCACATATTTGAAACAATCAAAGTTGTTAATAAAGAGTTCACAAAGAAAAATCATTGTGATTTACACACACAGTACAAGCACCAGCATATCTTTCGAGAGTTAACTTGATAAAAAACAACATATACATGTAACATGTGTATATTTAAGTCATAGATAAGAAGCTTAACTAAATTTTCAAATACGCCAAATGCTGATGAAAAAGGTACATTTTACATAAAATAACATTTTTTTGTTTTGAGGCATCCCGAAAAATAATAATAATATACATTTTTAAAATTATAATGATAAATATTAAGAGAAAGTTTTTTATTTTTTTGGGTTGTGTGCCCGGCGTGAGTCTTCCTTTACGATACATATAAGTTAGAATTATGTTTATGAAAGATATAGGCACATGGCGGCAAAGTTAAAGATTATAGCAGACAGCCGATTAATATATTAGTAATTGCCTTATATAGGACTAAAAGAAGAGAGAAATTCTTAAATAGGACCATATAAGTTTTTTCCCCCAAATAGGACTATATCACTCCTATTTTAAAACATACGTACTTTTCATTCCACTATTACCCCTTATCCCTTTTTACGGACCTCACTTCTTCCCTGCGCACAAACCCTCCTTCCCTTTTTATGGCAGAAATGCTTTTGTATAAATTGGTTTATCAATTTGTTTTGCCAATAACTTCATTTTTCTTATTTCCGATTGCCAAAGTGCTTATCCCGTTAAAATTTTTAGTTGTTTGAATATTTGGTTATTTATTCCATGTTTTTCAAATTTTGCCAACTTAATGACAATTTTTGTTATAATATTCCAAGATAAATCTGCCAACTATTTGACAGATCTGGAACCCTTGTTCATGGCAGATGTGAATCTACTCCCCAACCATAAATCTGCCAACTTCATGGCAGATTTATTTTGCCTGAGTTGTCATGGTGGTGGCAATGCTCAGAGGATGGTGGCGGCGGTGGATGGTGACGCCGGTCAGATGGTGACATCAGTGTCGGAAGTGGCGGTGAGAGCGGCTCCAGGTGGCGACAGCGAGAGCGGCGGTGACGGCGGCATGTGGTGACGGTAATGGCGGCAGGTGGCGACGGTGATAGCGGCAGGCGGCGCCAGTGACAGAGGCGGCAACAGGCGTGGCCGATGACGACGGCGGCAACAGGCATGGCCGGTGGCGGAGGGGTCAGGTGACGTGGGTTGGTGATATGTTACGATTAAAATTTAGGATTTTAAGTTATTTTGATTTTTCATTTTTAATTATAAATTCAAATAAAACTGATTAGGGGCATTTGTGTACAAGCAGGTGGTATTGAGTCCTACGGAACATGAATATGTTTTTCGGTCCTATTTGTGCACATGAGTTATCTTTTAGTCCTATAGAGGTAATTAACTCTTAATATATCAATTTCTCTAGAGTGCTAGAAAGGTAAGGTACGTTGAATTTGGGAATTCGGGCCATGGCAATTTTAGTTGTGTGAAATACGAGTAGTACTAGTACAATACATCTTTAAAAAAGGTACAAACATTTATTGCTCATTTAATACGGGGTATTTATCGGGCCATGCATCATAAACAACTTACAAAGCTTTGTCAGTTGGAAATCAAAATATTCTCAGAGGCCGTTTGGTAGCAAAATGGGTTGATTTGATTGATTTTGTTAAAATTTAGGGATAAGGGTCAGATAGGGCCTCGAACTCGAAAAAAATGTAAAATAAGGTCATATTTCGGATGCTCTGTCTAGCCGACGCCATTTGGGGCGGTTCCCGATGGAATTTTTTGATGAAATTTTTTGAGCATCTTCCTCATTAAGTCTAGTTTACCCATACCAAATTTTAGCTAAAAATTCAACCGGGAAGGTAGTCAAATAATTTTCCGAAATGTACGGCGTTGTTTAACTTCACAGTTATCTTCAAAAATTCATTTGACTACCTTCCCGGTTGAGTTTTTAGCTGAAATTTGGTATGGGTAAACTAGACTTAATGAGGAAGATGCTCAAAAAATTTCATCAAAACATTCCATCGGGAACCGCCCCAAATGGCGTCGACCAGACAGAGCATCCGAAATATGACCTTATTTGACATTTTTTTTCGAGTTCGAGGCCCTATCTGACCCTTATCCCTAAAATTTATGAAGTTTTGACTGCACTGACTGATGCTGCCGATTTAAGAAAAAAATTCTTTTTAAAATATATTTTATTAATAAAATAATGAAAAAATTACATGTAAAAATAATTAAAATGGTCATCTACAGTAACTTCAGCCAATACATCCAGAAAAGTAACTTCAATCTTACTTTTTCTGCTTATTACACAATTCAGCGGACAAAACCAAAAATTATGCGTTTGGTGAAAAAGTTGGCTGATAAGTCAAAAAACAGTGTTGCCATACGACATCTAAATCTTATACAGAGTATATTGAAGGGAAAAGATACAAATATACCCTATAGTATGGGTGTGGGAACAGATACCTCCTGTTCTATTTTTCGAAACAAATATATCACTGAACTTTTAAAAATGTGCAAAAATATCCTTCATGTTCTTATAAAGGGGCAAATTAATCCTTATTGACTTTAAATTAATAAAATAAATTTCAAAAACACCAAATATAAATTATAAATTCTAAAACAAAAAAAATTAAAAAATGTAATAGTGTCACTTTTATAGCTTTTTATATCACAATTTAATACTCTGTATTGTTTTAGCATGAAATATTATTTCAAAATTTTACTATATGTTTAAGATTTTTTCAAAAAGGTGCAACATATGTTTTGCAATGTAGAGAAAAATTATTATTTTGCAATCTTTGCACTATAGAATTACATATTTTGAAATAATATTTTATACTTAAAATATTAAATTGTGATATAAAAACAATAAAGGGAGAAATGGACACAGTTACACTTTTAAATTTTTTATTTTTTAATTTCGATTTATTAATTTATTTTTGGTCTTTTTTGAAATTTGTTTGATTAAATTAAGGTCAAAAAGGATTAATTTTTCTCCTTTATAAAAATGAGGGATATTTTTTCAACTTTTTAAAAATTCAGGAGTGCATTTGTTCCGAAAAATAGAACAGGGGTATATCTGTTCCTCCACCCATACTATAGGGGTATATTTGTACCTTTTCCCTATATTGAATGTTAAAGTTGGCTTGCCTTGGACACTGCTCAACAATTATGACAAACAAACTGCAAGAACTCTTAGGGAGTGTTTGCAATAGCTTAAAAAAGTACTTCTTCGCTTTTGGCTTAAAAAAGCCCTTATTTACCAAACACTACCAATTTTTACTTTTTCTCGGCTTGTGTGTGAAAATTGTTTTTCCCTTTTGTTATTACACAAAAAGTAATAATCTATAGTATTGGGACATATTTGTAATTACCTATTTATCTGTTTATTATATATAGTTCACCAGGACACCCTAATAGGGTGAGCCATTATTCCATCTTATTATTTCATATGGTATCATCTACACATTCATTAATAAAGTTAACAATTAAGATTATTTAACTCTTCGAGAATATGGCCCGTGCATCGCACGGGTGAAAATCTAGTTGTGATTAAAAAAACTTGACAAATAGAGAAAGAGAGAGAAATAATTAAAAACATCCTAAAAATAATACGGGACATTTCATAAACAACGGTGGAGTACTGGAGTACAATACAACGTATTATAATTCCAAAAAGAGTTAGTGGTCCTTTTCCGCTAGAGGTTAGAAGGACATTTCCGTTAATTTTTATACCGAGTATTTGTCTATAATTTATAAATTTTATATTTTTATGAAAATATTTTGAATTAAGAACAATTTGATGTAATTTTCATGTTCAAAGCAATTTTGTTTTAAAATACGTAGTACTTCGTATATCATTGGTCAAAACTGATTGTCATTGACCATAAAAAGTGAATTTGACGAATCTTTTCAAAACGGAGGGAGTATTAAAAGACCGTCAAATTAAACGGCAGTCAATCTTAATATATTCTGTATATCTCAACTTTGGAATAAAACATTCCAAACATACTGCTTGTTTATATCTTAATATGCATTACATATCAATGTTATAATCGACTAAATAAGTGATATTCCGTGAGTATAACTAAAAAAGCAAAATCATATCTCGTGCAAGGCAGGCACGGGTAGAGATAACCTAAATATATACTCCGTATATATCTAAGCATCTAACGCTCTCTTGACATAGTAAAACTCATAGCCGGACTTGCTTAAGAACCCCGGCCTTTGTTGGGTTCATAAATCTGGCGATATGCTTGCAACATCTCCAACACAAGTAGCATAATCATGATCAGATACACCAGACACTTCATACCAGTTCCCACAGGCTTCCTCATCAACTTCACACCATTGTCAACCTTCTTCTCAACACACTTCCACACCCTTTTCAACACATACCCCCTCCTCCTCTTCTCCCATTCCTCCACCATCTGCTTCACTTGTTTCACCACATCCCTGCTTGCACACTCCTTCTTCGGCTTCGAGTTCCCCACGGTTTTTCCGATCTCGTTGAAGATTTCAAGAACTTCTCCGTCTGTTAGGTCTCCCGTGATGATTTCCTTCACCCGTAGCATCGCCACGTCATCAGGTGTCTGCAGTAAGTTGCTCATCAGGTGAATATATCCAGCAAGCTCAAAGGCTGGCTCTGGGGTTGCAATGGCAGATTCATATGCCACCAAGTTTCTTAAAATCACCTCTGAATCATTTTTTAAAGTGATCTCTGGGAGATAAATCATTTTTGTGCATTGGATGTCAAATTTGATATCCCTAATCCCTTTCCATTCCAGCAGCTTGAAATCCACAAGGTGTTTCTTGGACAGCTCCGATGCTGAAGGAATTTCATGACTCTTCTTTGGCGGTTTTGATAGTTTGATCTTAGCAACCTCATCAGCTAACTTGCTGCTGATCTCCAAAACTTGTAATGCCTCCAAAGCTAATAGCATTGGATTAATCCAATTGGATGCCCCTGCTCCAAGTACTTCACTTAAAGCTTTTAATGCCTTTGTTCCTACCTCTGTGATTCTGGATGCTGATAATGCTTGTGATCTCGCTGGTCTACCCCGGTTTATGATCCGTTTATACATATCTGCCAGGAGGTGACTGCCTATATAGTTGCGGTCCTCCCGACCCCTTTCAAGTTTCAGGGGAGAGTGAGCGTTGCAGAAGTAGTAAAAGAGTTCTGAATGCAGCGTTAGTACTGTGATACCTAAATAAAAAAAAACAAGAATCATATACGGAGAAGTAAAAAATACATTTGGTTGGACGCATTTTTAAGAAGTAAAGTAAGGGTATTTTATAAAGGGTAAATTTACCGAACATGAAAGTGTAACAAACTTTTAAATGCATCCCAGAAAACAACAAAAAAGAAAGTGCAGCAAACATTAGGATAGGAGAGAATAATAGTACTCCATATAACAATAATAATTTTATAACAATACTAATTTTATTATGGAGTATTTTATTATTATTTCCTATTCACTTATTTCTATCTTATAATAATGTTGATATAATATTATGGAGTACTAGTTTTTTTTCCGGGATATTATTAAAATAGAACAAACATATAATTATAAAATCAGTGATGAAGTACCACAATTATCACTGGGATGTGGAGTTGAACATGGTTATCATAGCCACTTTGAAATATTACTTTTGTTGACTACTTGACGGCACTTGGAAATGTTAAAAATTGGCGACATTTGCAGAAACCTTTCAACGAGATGGAGAAAGTAACAAATATGACACCAGAAAGAATGAGACAATTATAATGACGAGAACAAACCTAGGTGTTTCCCCATCTCTTCTACCACACGTGCCGGGATTTGATTCTCCAACTTTAAGACATCCTTGGCCAGCTCTTGGCAACCAGGTTCGACAGTTTTAGTTTCCTTCCCGTACATGGCCAAAAAAGCGAGCAGATAGAAAGAATCAACGGCGAGGATGTAGTCCAGGGTGGAGCAGTCCAGATCCAGGTACTGGTTGTAGCTGGCCCGAACCAGCAGCTCCAAATCCCTCATCGTTTTCAGGATGTGCTTGGAGAAGTTCTTGGACAGGGGTGGAGATAGGGGAGGCTGACTGAGAAGTTCTTCGACAGGATAGTACCTGTAAGAAAAAAATTGTGATGTATATAAATATAAATGTATAAATAAATATTTATAAGTCGTACAAAATATAGTGCCAATTTCATTATTGGCCCTACAACCTGTCAATGTCACTGTCATCACTGTCACTATTCTTGAATGACTTTTCCCTAAGAAATTTGTTGAGGGCGACGAGCTTTTGGAGGTTTACGGCGTGGAGGTCGGGCCGGAGATGATGGTACGGTCCCATGCCGAGCAGCAGAGGGGTGTAGGCTTCGGGCTTGGTTTCGCTCAAGGATTTTGGGACTTGAAAGATTGTTGGAGAGAAGCCATCGATTTCTATGATGAGTTCTGACTGTAAGGCTCTGCTAGCTAGGCTCACCCACCTTTCTTCATCAATGGACGGACTGAACTCTGAATTGGCAGCCATGAATCTTAATCTCGGACAGAGGATGCTCTATGTTTTAATTGCATGAAGTGTACAGAATACAGATCATGTTTTTTACTCTTTTATAGAGGCATGTTCCAAATCACGCGTAAGAAATATCATATGGCACGGTGTTCACACTTCACACTACTATCTTCTACACTTTTTTCTTCAGTGGGTTGTACTATTGTACTATTGACACGGTTTGGTTTTTTTGGGTAAGTCGTGCCTAATTTGAATATACTACTTCGTATCTAGTATCTGCTTCGTATCATGCACTCCTAGCTTCTCGTTAAATTGTCCCATTTTTTCTTTTCGAGAAATCTAACAAAAATTGTGTCATACCAAATTTAGTAAAGTTTGTGTGTTCCAAAATCCTTTATACTTTATTCTTACTTTATCAATTTAATAGCAAAAACATAAATTTACTTTTCTTAATAACCGTATTACGGTCCCTTGAGCTAATGTTAGAGGACTAGTGTAGTATTGCAGTACGTCTGCGTGATAAATACTGGAAAAATATTAAATTGTTCTATAGGAAAATGTTCGATCATAATATAAAGTTTGGGATATAAGTTTAAGTGGGAATGCGGGATTCACCATATCATTTTGAAAATATGGATGGAAGAAGAAACAAAAGAAATTATGTCTTTTCTTTTTCTTCCAAATTTTAATTTATATTTGTATGTATGTAATTAAAATAATTCTATATTTCTGTGTGTATAAAGTTTATTCTATTTGTATCGTATCATAATTAGTGCTCGTTTATCTATGTTCTTTACATGTAATATTAGTAATGTCCCTTTCACAGATGCAAATGCAAGGTAATTCCCTTATGTCGTAGTATTATTGCATGGAAGATGAAAGGTAGTTTCCTCCTACCAACCATATGACCACTCCTTCACAATGTAATATATATACAAGCTCGCATAAAGCTTTTATCATACATCCTATCGTACCACAAATACCTTCCTACTTTCGCCATTTGATTCGGTTTCTGGTAAAGTTTTTTTTTTTAAATGATTTGAGCATGTTTATTCATGAAGTGTAGATCATGTCCACAATATTCTAGCATTTTCAGTAAAATACACTCATAGGTTGAAGTTTATAGTTATTAATGCCATACCTTTACCGTATCATAAATTTACAAAAATACATACTGGTAGTCCGGTACCATACCGAAATTTAGGTATACCTTCTTTTGGTATACCAAAATTTCGGGGTAAGGTAAGGCATCGGTAAATTATCATAATTTACTTCAACTTTATTATAAAAAATGTTGGAAAAATGTGTTAAAAATTGCATTAAATGGTAATTTTGGGGTAACATTTTGAGTGGTTTCGGACTGTATTTGTTAAACGCTACAATTCGATATATGGTACGCTCAAAACGGATAACGGATGAATGAAAAATTGATTCTCGAAGTTCACTCATTAAAATGGAAAAACTGGGAAAAAGATGAGGTTCTAGTGTGTCATTTGCCTACAGGGGGTGTGAATCAAATGCTGAAAACTAAAAAGGAAAAATTGTGACTCACGTGCGCAAGACTCATTTACTCTCTCTAGAATAGCTTGCAAGACTCCATTAATGAGAGCTCAAATTGTACTGTGTAATGGTGAGGAGAAAGAAAGGGCTTGGACATTAGCCTAAAAAGTCCTGTGGTTTTCTCCCTTTCGGGTTTCCACGTAAAAATAGTTTGTTCATACACATTTATACATATATTTACTATATCGTGTTGGATTAAACTCAACAAATACAAATATAATACTTCTTCCGTATTTTAATGTTTGTTACACTTTTCTTTTTGGGATGTATTTAAAAGTTTGCTACACTTCCATTTTTGGTATGTTAACCCCTTTATAAAATACTAAACTACCCTTACTTTATCTACTGTTAAGGTTTATCCCGAAGAACCGAAAGCCCAACACACGCTTTGGGTATCTAAGGACATTTGGGGTTGGATCAGAAAGGTGTTTAAAATATAAAACAGTGATTACTCCAAGAGCTTACCTGATATTCAGTAATGCAGTGATTACACGAAAATTACCCGAACGGGTGGTAAATACAAGAATACAAGAATAAGAGAAGTGTTTCTACTTGCTAAGCTCTGATTATTAAAATGCTCACCCTTTACAACATATTCAATGCAGGTATTTATACTACAATGGGGATGGGAGAGCTGGGCACGTGGCTGAATCTAGTTGGTTGCACCCCCTGCCACGTAAGAACCCATGCCTCCACTTGCTGCCGCCATACTGTAGCATTAAATGCGGCATCCACTTGCTGACTACCCGTTCGGGTAGGATGTTCGATATTGGGATACCCCGTCATTGTCCGGTGATCCAATGTCCCGAACGCCGATCGGTGTGCGGCACCCCTCCATGGGTGTAGGCGTAATTATTCACCATAATGTTCCAAGTGTGAGTAATGTACCGAACGTCGAACGGGTCTAGACTGCTCTGGGCCTCCCGTATTCATCTGGTATTCTCACACTTTGGGCCGGGGATATTGGGCTTGGACCCAATATCCCAACATCTACATTTTATCTTCTCTTTCATACTTTTACACACTCTCTCCTACTTTTTCTACACTATTCACTACCCCTATTACTTTACTTCTTAAATAATGCATCAAACTAAATGTAGTGATCATTAAAATACGGAGGGAGTATGCACCATACATATGAATCTGCAATATAATACGGAGTATTATTTTAAACATAATAATCTCATACATATTATTGTAATATTAAGAAAACTTGTCGTGACTCACAAACACCTACTTCGTAGACAAAAATTGCAATTCAAAAATCAATCATTTATTTTGATAAGATTCATGTGATAAAACAAAGCAGAAGTTAATTAAAAAGTATTGGTGGATTTATACATTTTAAACTTTTTAAATTCAAATAATTTGATACAATATTATATATCCTTTTTTATTTTAAAATAATTTATCTTTGATTTGCTGTTTTTACGCTTTAATGTATCAACACTTTTTCTAGAGCACTTCAATTATAAAATCAAAGTTATTTTTTCATTGTCTAAACTTGGAATGTAATATATTTGAATGTCATCATGTATGTATTAATGGATTTTTTTTAATAAAAAATAGCAGCAGAGTCCTACACTACCCAAAAAATTCACTTTGCTGCACGAGTGAAAAAATTTGTCCCGCTACAGCAGCGAAACATTTTCATCTCTACACTAATGAAAAAAATTCACCCCTTAATTTGAAATCCTGAATTCATCCTTGACGGTCCCATGCCAAGTAGCAGAGGGGTGTATGCTTCTGGCTTGGTTTCGCTAACGGACTTGGGGACTTGAAAGATTGTTGGAGATAAGTCATCAATTTGTAAGATGAGTTCTGACTGTAAGGCTCTGTTACGTATTTAGGCCCACCCACCTTTCTTCATCAATGGACGGACTGAACCCTGAATTATTGGCTGCCATGAATTGAATCTCTCTCGGACGGTGGATATTGGTTTTGTGTTTATACTTTATAGGGGCATGTTCCAAATCACGCGTAAGCAACAGAAAATGGCACGTTGTTCACACTACGTACTACTATCCTCTCCCTACTTTTTAAAGTAGAGATTTGTAGGCTAATTTTGTAGATTGAGTTAATTATCAAAATAGGACTAAAAGTCATTCACTTTGCATAAATAGGACCAAAAAGTAAACTATGTTTCTATAGGACTAATTATGTGTGTCTTGGAGAAATATACCCTTATGCCTATTGGAATGTTTTAATTCATAATAAAATAATAAAAAATAATAAAAATTCGTAAAATATACCAAAAAATTAATAAAAATATTTTGAATAATAATAATTTTAAAAAAAAATAAAAAATAAAAAAAATAAAAAATAAAAAAATAAAAAAAATCAAAAAAATATTTTTTTGTCACCGCCGCCTCTGGCGCCCCAACACCACCACCTCTAGTCATTTGGGAAAAAAATGCCAAATTTATTATGAATTCCATAGTTTTGGCATAATTCAGAATGATTTAAGATGGAAGGAAAAAATGTTGGCATTCTCAAAGAGAAATATGCCATATTTTTGGCATTTTCCGAAAAAAATGGAAGTTTGTAGGAAATATGACATTTTTTTAATGGTCGGAGGTGGTGGTGCAGGGAGGCAGTAACACCACCTCCTGTCACCGGGGTAAACAAATGCCAAAAAAATTATGAATGTCATATTTTTGGCAAAAGTCAAAAGGATTCAAGTTGGCAGAATGAAAATGTTGGCATTCTCATAGAGAAATATGCCATTTTTGTGGAATTTAAAAAAAAAAGTGGCATTTTTTACACCGATTGGAGGTGGTGGTTCAGGGAGGTAGTACAGGCGGTGGGAAAGGTATCCATATTTTTTTTTAATTTTTTTTTATGGAGTTTTACTATTTTTTATTAATTTTCCAAAAAAAAAATTCTTATTTTTTATTTTATAAAAATTTTATTAATTTTTTTTTATTTTTCTACGAATTATTGAAATTTTTTTCGAATTTATTATGAATTAAACATTTAATTATGATTTTTAGCTATCTTTTACTAATATTTAAAGGAGGGGTAAGAATGGAAGGATGAAATGAGTATATTTCCAATAGGACCACTATGGTCCTATTTTGGAATAAAAAATATAGCAAATCCTATTTTGAGATTTTGCCATAGTTTTAGTCCCATTTGAAGTAATTTCTATTGTAGATTTTGATAGGATTTGTTTTTTGGTATGTCGTGCCTCATGGAAAACCGGAATGTCTTTCATTATAGTCTATTCGTCCACAATTGTAACGCTCTTTATAGTTTACGAAGTTTGACGAGCAACCGGAATCTCTAATCATTTTCAGAAATTATATTCAAAGCCTTATAATGTAGCCGCAAAAATCAGAATCAAATTTGATAAAAATTTAATATATAAAATAAGAGATTAAAAATGATTTATGTTGACCAAGTATATAGAAAACGTATCTTATAAAATGGGACTGAGAGAGTACATATCTCCTTAGACTTTGGCACAAGTTTTAAGGAAAAAAATAACATGGATAATGTAAAAAGTTTAGTGATTGTATTTAAATGAAAATATATGACAGAGAAAGAGATACGAGTAATAAAAATGGCGGTATAATTAACTTAAATGAGCTACTAGTTTGAGCAAAGAAAATTAATAAACATAGTA